TCATTACCTCTACCCTGCAGTTCTAAATCTCTGCCTTTGTTATATCTGCCTGTCAGCAACAATAACAACAGAAAATAACAAAAACAACAAAATGTGACTTTTTAAATAACTCTGGATGAAATATATTCGTGTTGTTCATAGGCTAATGATGTGGCTTACTGGGATATTCCAGGGTTTAGCCACTGAGCGAAGGAGAGGAGAGGCATGTTGGGAAGAAAAGCTATTCACTTGGTAAATAATTTGTCTGACTTAGTTCGCAAGAAAATATTTTGTGTCTTTAATATCTCTTTTTTTCTTACTCAACTTTTTCTCCTTTACCCATACAACTTTAATGGGAAAAAAATTCATTTCAAAATGATCTTCAAAAGGGAAATTGTGGCCTGCCTCAAGGGAAGAAAAAAGCAATTTATCCATTAAAAAGAAAACCAAGATTTCTCAGATTCAGGCAATAGAGTGACTTAAAGTCTGAGGATCTGGATTCAAATACTAGAATTCTACTTCTTGTGGCTAAACACCTGGATGGAAGATGAATAAGGCCATATACTTTCTCTCCTCTCAACTCTCTTCTTAACCTTTTACAATCCATCTTCTGACCTCATCATACCACCAAACCTGCTCTCTCCAAAGTTAACAATAACTGTCAAATCCAATGGCCTTCTCTTAATCCTCATTTTTCTTGACCTCCCTGTCGCCTTTGACACTGTTGATCACCCTTTCCACCTTGATATTTTTTTTTTGCTTTTTGGTGAGGCTCTCAGGGTTAAGTGACTTGCCCAGGGTCACACAGCTAGTAAGTGTCAAGTGTCTGAGGCTGGATTTGAACTCAGGTCCTCCTGACTCTAAGGCTGGAGCTCTATCCACTGCACCATCTAGCTGCCCCTTCTCTTTGATATTCTTTCTAGATTTTCAGGACACACTTTCTCCTAATTCTCCTCCTACTTATCCATGTACTCTCTCTCAGTCTCCTCTGCTGTATCTTCAGCCAGACCACTCCATCTAACCACGTGTGTCCCTCAGGGTTCTGTCCAGGCCCCTTTTCTCTTCTTCTATACTATTTCACTTGGTGATCTCATCAACTCCCATGGACTTAATTTCCATCTCTATGCTGATGATTCTCAAATCAACCTATCCTGCCCTAAGCTCTCTGCTGTCCTCGTCTCACTTCTCTGACAGCCTTTTAGACATCTTTAATTGGATGGCCAACAAAACATATCCAAAATGGAATTCATTATCTTTTCTACTATACCCATCCACCCCCTCCGAAACTTTCCTATTGCTGTTCAGGACATCACTATTTACCCAGTCAACAAGGCTTGTAACCTAGGTGTTACCTTCAACTCCTCACCACATCTCACTCCACATATACTTGGCAATCTCTTGCCAAGGCTTGTCAACTCCACCTTTCTCTCTCAAATATACCCCTTTACTCCTCTCCTCTGCTATTGCCATGACCCTGGTATAGACCCTTATCACCTCACACTTGGACTATTTTTATTGTCTGGTGATGGGGGTTTACCTGTCTCAAGTCTCTCCCCACCCTAATCCATCTTCCATTAAGCCATCAAAGTGATTTTACTAAAATGTAAGTCCATTCATGTTACTCCTCTACTCAATAAACTCCAGTGGCTTACCATTTAGCAAATACAAAATGATTTTTGGGCATTCAAAGTCCTTCGTAATCTAGCCCACTCTTAACTTTCCAGTCTTCTTATACCTTACTCTCCAACACTCCATCAGTGGCCCTGGAATCAGGAATATCTGAGTTCAAATCCAGCCTCAGATACTTGGTAGCTGTGTGACCCTGGACAAATCATTTTATTGTCTGCCTCAGTTTCTTCAACTGCAAAATGAAGATAATGAAAGCACTTACTCCCTGTGGTTGTTGTGAGAATAAAATGAAATAATATTTGTAAAGCACCTCACAAACCTTAAAACACTATATAATACTATTATTATTGTGTATATTACTTCTAAGTCTCAGTTTTCTTACCTATGAAACGCAGATGATCATATTTATATCAACTCCTCACAATGTTGCTGAGAAGAAATACTCCATCTCTCTGCTCTAGGCATTTTCTCTGGATGCTCCTTCCCTCCCCCCCCACCCCCATGCCTGAAATGCTTTCCCTCCTCTGCTCAGATTACTGGCCTCTCTGGTTTCCTTTAAATCCCAACTAAAATCTCACCTCCAACAGAAAGCCTTCCTCAACCCCTCTTAGCTCCAGTGCTTTCCCTCTTTTATTTATTTCCTATTTCTCTTATATATAACTTGCTTTGTGTATGTTTGCTTGCCTCTTGTCTTTCCCATTCAATTGTAAATTTGTTGAGGGCAGGGACTGTATTTTGCCTCTTTTTGTATCCCCAGCATTTAGCACTGTGCATGGCAATACTAGATGCTTAATAAATGTTTATTGACCAGTTGACTATTCTATGATGCCATTCACCATCCCCTGTGATTTCCAAGAACAAAACGCTCCATCCAGATCACTCCCCTATATATGCCATTATCCTATATTAAAATATAGGATATATTGAGGGCAGACTGTCTTTTGTTGTTATTTGTTTGTTTGTTTTGTTTTGTTGTTGTTGGGTTTTTTTCTGTTTGTTTGTTTGTTTTAGTTGTGTCTCTAGGGCTTAGCCCAATGCTTGGCACATAGTAAAATTTAATAAATGCTTGAGTGATTGATTTACATATCAGCACCAGTGTCTCCTTACCTTCAGAGGGTGGCACTTCCCTCTGTCTGAATAGCTCTATTACATGACACCCCCTTCTATTTTACAATACAATGATCACAACTTTTCAGAGGATCTAGTCCACCCCTATCATTTTACAAAGGAAGAAACTGAGGCCCAAAAAGATGAAGTGACTTACCCAAGGGCATACATGTTTTAAATGTCAGAGCTGTGGCTTTTTCCTACTGGCCATTCAGTTTTAAAATAATAAAAAATTCCCACATTTTCAAACTTAATATTGTCATATATATGGCTATGTATATTGCACATGTATATAAATGTACAAATGTTCAATGCAAGGGAATGAACAATGACTTTAGGATTCGTTACATAGGGAGGTGTTCAGAGTTTAATTATCAGGGGCTGATGTTTAAACTAGCAGAATCAGAAAAGCAATATACACAATTACTACAACAGTGTAAGTGCATAGAATAAGTGAAAAAAATGAAACTGAATATTGTGAAATTATAATACAAAGGAGGGATATGACAAGACACCCCTACTACTTCCTTTGATGATGTGGAGATGAGGTATAAGGAAAATTGCATGTAATATTTAAATTTCAATATGACTTTGATGGAACTTTTTTTCCTTTTTGTTTCAAAAATTATTTTAAGAGAAGGCTCTAGGAGGAAAATATAGAGAGATAGAGAGCTAATTGGATGGATTATATTATTTGATAGATCAAATATGAATCACTTATCAGGTCTTGTACAATGCTCAGCTCTGGAAATAGAAATTGAAGGAAAAAACAAGATAGTTCTTACCTTCAAGAAGTTTATATTCTAATAGAGGAAGATAATGCATAAAGGAAAACTGGAAAGCAAAGGTCAGGGAGAGGCACGTATGTGGGGGCAAGATGGAAAAGTCAACAGAAACCAAAGAGTAAGAAGTGACTATGCATGGCCCAGAGTACTTCCTTAAATGGTGGTCCTGGGCAGGAACTTACCCTTCAGAGAAGGGGGCCCAAAGGCAGAGACATTTCCAGTGTGAAGTGGCTGCTATGACAGTGGTAGAAAAAAAAATACAGGTCAAAATGTAGGTGATGGAAAAGGAAAAGATAATGATTAAGATCTACTAAAAACAAAATAAAACAAATTTAAAAATCATTGTAAGATTTTTCCCTAGCCAAGACCAGCCTTAGGCAAAATTTAGAAATATACAAAGTCATTTTGGCACCAGTCTTCCCATTATATATGACTCTCAGTAAAACTCCCTCCTACCCCCACTCCCTAACCCCTGGGTTGGGAGTCCTCTTTCTCAAATTCCCTATTGCTGACAGATCCTTCATTCTCCTCAAGTTGTAAATTATTCAGGAATGTCAGAGGTGTGATGAAAAGGTGCTTGAATTGGAGTTAGGAGAGACTTTAAGTTTGAATTTCACCTCTTAAACTTACTAACCTTTAAAAAAAAAGACAATTTGCAGTTTGATTACAGTTAGGCAGTGTGGTAAGATGAATGAAGATCTGCCCTCATTATTGGGGTAACTTCATTTAAGTCCTGCTTCTGACACATGCTGACTAAATCACTTAACCCCTCAGGGCCTCAGGCAACTGTCCAAGACCATAAATTTCAGAGGAATTACCAATATGCATTAGTAGAAAGACTCTCTTCATTGGGAATTCCCTCTATTGTAAAATTGTAGGTCTGCCTCTCCCTCCAAAATGTGTGTGTGTGTGTGTGTATGTGTGTATATGTATATATGTGTATGTATATACATGTATGTGTGTGAATATAATATGTCATCTATGTCTATCTTTATGTGTGTATTCGTATGCACTTATCTTCTCATTTTGGTCTATTCTGTAATTTTCCAATAATATCTCCAATTCCTGCCTTGCATAGAATATGACTTCTGAGGCATCTTCTAATTCTAGGATTCTGTAGTTAAAAATTTTCAGAACTCAGGTTTCTGTATTATCTATTCCTTGGGTTTGCATAACTCATCTGTTCCAGGTGGAGGAAGATGCTAGGGAGTAAATGACTTGGGGCTCCTCTGAATGAGTTATACTCTAATGTTTCTTGTTAAAACCAAAATGACTTAGTCACTTGGTTGGGGAAATCGAGAGGTTGATTCATGGTGATGTGAATTTGTGATCATACGTAGTTCCTTTTTCCAGTACTATATCAAGAGGCACAGGGACTTGGAAGGATAATAGGTATGCGATAAGATTTCAAGCTGGAATGAAATTTAGAGATCACCTCATCCAACTCCTTCATTTTACAGATGAAGAAACTGAGGCCCTGTAACTAAGCCAAGCCAGGATCTGAAGCCAAGAACTCTGCCTCCAGATCCACTGTGCCACTGTGTGGCACAAAGAAGAAGCTGTAAGTACAACTTCAATAGAATATTTGTCCCTGATTGTGTTCTGTCTTGTATCTTGAAAACTTGAATACACAATATCAACTAACCTCCCCTTTAAAAGAGGCCACCAGTTTTGCCAGCAAAAATTCACTAGTTTAGAGGAATTCTTCATTTATTTGAAATGTTGAGTGTTTTCATCATGATATACTTAGGCTACATCTACACACACACACACACACACACACACACACACACACACACACAATTTAGCCTCTTGATTAATGTGACCAGTCAAGTCAATCCAAAAACTAGTTAAGTCAGTGTTGCTCAACATACATCATCTTGGAATCCATTGAAATTAATAGTTAACACCAAGGGGACAAATGAACACATATATTATGGACCTATTAAAAGACTAAGCATTGACAACTCACAGCCAGATTTTTTTTTTTATTTCACTTGCTAACGGTATCAGTTTCTGGAAGGAGGAAGAATACACATTAATAAGAGGAGAAGAACCAAAGGCTTAAGTTGGGTTTTCATTAGCAAAGCTAATGAAATTAGTTTTAATTCCTGCCTTTGATACTAGAAGTATAATTGAGAAAAAGTAATTTAACCTCTCTGATCCTCAATTTTCTTATCTATAAAATGGACATAATAAATATAATGCTTACCTTCAATTCAATTAAAAACTATTTATTAAACACCTATTTACTAGCAGCAGGGATTCAAAGGCAAACGCAAAGCGATCTCTGCCCTCAAAAAGTTTATATTCTACCCAGAAGAGACAAGACACCAGAGAACTAAGAAAGTATGGACACTATATAAAGTAATGGAAAGTCATTTGAGGGGAGGTTAGAGGACTAACAACTGAATGAAAACAGAAAAGATCTTATGTAGGAAAGAGCACTTGAGTTGAGCCTTCTAGGGTGTTCTAATAGGCAGAGGTAAGAAATGAGAGCATTCTAGGTGTGGGAAACAGCCTTGGCGAAGGCATGGAGGCAGGAAATGAAATGTTGTTTATGGGGAAATGGCAAATAGATAAGTTTCATTGGAACCAAGAGTGCATGAGGGAGCGTAGTGGGTAATCATCTTGGAAAGATTGCTAAATTGCAATCAGATTACGAGGGGTTTTAAGTGCCAAACAGTGGAATTTATATTTTATCCTAGAGACAAGAGGGAGCCACTGAAGCTTCTTAGGAGGGAAGTCCAGACCTGTGATGAGATGATGTCTGTAAAGCCCTGTAAAAACTTGGAAACACTAGTCTAAGCATGTCACTCTCTTGCTTGAGAAGCTTTGATGGTTCTTATCACCTCCAGGATAAAATATAAACTCCTCTCTTTGGCATTGAAGGCCCTTTACAATAATAAGAATAGCATTTTAGTTATTAGTATGACTCATTTCTATTATTAACTAGAAAATCCAAACCCCAAGACTTCTGGACTCAACTATCAAACAAAAGCATTTTTCTTATTGACCTGTACTATTTAAATAGTACAAATAACTCTCATTTGCCTATTTACCTATAGACTTGCAGCAGGTATTCCTTTAATTGAATGGTTACTATTAACTACAAGCACTGTCCTTAACCAGTTGACCCTATTTCTTTATGTTTACTGTTATAATATATGGTTGTGGTTTGTCCTTCATTCTCGAAGAGGACCATAACATCAGGGAGAGGATGACATGATTTGCAATTGATTTTGATTTGAGTGACAGAGGACTGTGAAAAGTCACCATCCTTACTTTATCCTCCAGAGCCTTCTGAGTCCAGTGGCCAGATATATATCATGATGACTGGAGGTAGCCCAGGATGCAGTGGGAGACCTTGGCTTTTTTAAGCTAAGGTCTTTTCAGGTTCTCACTTTGAGTGAGGCCACACCCATTCAGTGAATAGGACTCTCTGAGAAGTAAGTCAATGGATGGCCCCTTTAATTAAAAAAAACAATCAAACTGGGAGGGGAAGACCCTCAGGGTTGCTGGCCAAAAGAGAAACAGTTACTATTTACATTCACTCTGAGCCAATGGGTGCATGCTCACATTCAGAAGGCACTTTATAATATTCTTTCTTCACAGCCCTTAGAAGTACATGGCTTAAGAGGTCTTAATCCTTTTTTTATAGCTGAGGAATCTGAGGCTTGGGGAGTCAGAGTGACTTGTCTAATATCATACAGCTAGTTAGGACCAGAATCAGGTCTTACATGCAAGCCCTCTGAGACTCAGAGACAATCACTTGTTCCATGCCTGCTGGCCTCAAAGGAAGAAAGATAAAAACCTTATATACTTTTCTAAAGAATATCTTCCAAATTGTGCCAACAGCACCACATCACATTGCTTTACAATTTATAACCATCAGCCAAATTGTTGAGCAAATACTGTTCTGTTTATCCAGGAGCTCCCATTAATCTTTCTTCTCTGTATGAAAGTCACTTTCACAAGGTAAGAGATTTGCTGACTTTCCCAAGGCAAAAATGATTTAAAAAAAAAGTTTTGGAGAACTCAATCAATCTATGAGACTGCTTTAGTTATCTTGGCCTGAAGAAAGAAAAGGATTTACAAACTCAAATTACAAAAGTTTGCCCAAGTTTGCAGAAATTATCTCCATCTTTTTGTCCAACTTAACAGGTTCAGGGCTCTGATATTCTTTCTCAAAAAATGAATGCAAAATGCCAAATCACAGTTTATTTTTATCTCTTCCCTCTTATTTTTCATTTAAAAATGAGACGCAAATAAAATGTGTGAAGGACACGAAAAGGTACCTAGAAATTAGAAACAAAATGGAGTCTATTCATTAGGGAATGGGTGAATAAATTTTGACTATATGAATGGAATGGAATATAACCATAACAATCCCTCCCCCCCCCGCCAGCATCCCATACCTCTCCACTAGTCTTCCAAGTAAAGAAAAAGACTCATCTTGCTCCTTCTGAAACAGCCCTTGTAGCCTATGAACTTCGCTACTCATCTACTACCCACTAGAGTTCTCCTATTTCTCTCTCTCTGTCTATATATAAACACTGATCAATGATGCCCCCTGTTATCCCCTGTTCTTTCTCATGTACTCTCATCCCTATCCCTCTCAATCCTATCTTTCTTAGTCCCAATCCAGCTCTGTCCACCATTTCCACAGTGCCCTCTGGAATTCCTGTTCCATAGTGAACAAACTCTGCTTCATTTTAGACCTATTTCTTTTGCAATCTTTCCATTTATTAGCATTTGCTGAGACCTGTCTCCCCTCTGATGACCCTGCATCTTTGTTCATCCTTTCCAGCAATGGCTGTACCTTCACTCACAACCCAAAATCATACTGGTCCTGGAGGGGTAGTCAGAATACTCCTTCCTCATCACTGTTACTTCCAGACTTATACTTTGCCTTTTCCACAGTAATTTTTCTTCTTTTGAAAGCTACTCAATTAAAAATTTCCACCCAGTCAAAATTATAGTAGTTCAAATATATCAACCCCCAGGTCATTCTCTCTCCTTTTTCAGTTAGTTCACATCTTTCTACACTCTCCTACTTCTGTCTTCATACTAAAGACTTTTAAAAAAAATTCTTAATTAATTTTTAGTTTTTAACATTCACTTTTATAAGATTTTTAATTCTAAATTTTCCCCTCTTCCTCCCCTCCCTAAGACGGTGTGCAATCTGACATAGGCTATACATGTACAATCATCTTAAACATATTTCCACATTAGTCATATTGTGAAAAAAGAATCAGAACAAAAGGGAAAAACCTTGAGAAAGAAAGAACAAAAAACAACAACAAAAAGAGAAAATAGTATGCTTCAATTTGCATTCAGACTCTGTAGTTCTTTCTCAGGATGTGGATAGCACTTTCCATCAAGAGTCTATACTAAAGATTTTTAATATCCATGTAGATATGCTTCAAATTCCCTAACATCTCATTTCCTCAATCTTTTCAAGTCCTGTGACCTACTTCTTCACTCTAATTTAGCCATATATAAGAATGATCACACAGTAGATCTCACTGTTACCTATGAGTATTACACTTGACAATTTAGAAACATTGACATTCACTTCCATAACCATAACCTCCTATCATCCCACTTCTCACTGTGTTTCAACTCTCAAACACCTATTCTTCATACTCTGAGACCTCCATTCCATCCACCCTTCAGTATTTTCTCAGATAGTTACTCATACTCTGACTTCTAGTTTCTCCCTCTCCAACCTTAACCCACTTATTAGCATTTAGGCTTTACACTGCTTTCTGTTCTTGAATTGCTTACCCCCTTGTCCAATCAGTGCTCTTCCTTTGCCAAATCTAAGCCCTAGATTACTCATACCATCCACCTCCTCCACTCCTCCACATGAGATGCTGAACAAAGCTGAAGGAAGTCTCAAAACTATGCAGATTAGTTACATTACAAATTCACATTATCCAACTTCAACTGGGCCCTCACTACAGTAAGGTAGTCTTTTTAGTCCTCCCTAATTGATTCCCCATATTATTCCTCACAGAAGGTATTCTAAACCTCCTCTCTCTCTCTCTCTCTCTCTCTCTCTCTCTCTCTCTCTCTCTCTGAGTCATACTGCTTATTTTACGGAAAGAATTGAGGTCATTGGACTTGAGCTCCTACTTCTCTCATTCACTTCATCTCAAAATCTCTTGACATCATCTCCTACTCTCTCCTTTCTCCATTCTCTAACAAATAAGTGGACTTTCTCCTTGCCATGGCCAACCCTTCTAAATGTGTATTTTATTTCATCCCCTCCAGTCTTCTCCAGTAGATTATGTTCTCAATCATCTCCCCCACAAATCTTTAACCTCTTTCTATCAATTGATTTCTTCCCTACTACCCTCACACAAGTCTCCCCCATCCTAGAACCTACTTCTTCCTTAAACTATCATGCTAAAACTCCCCTTCCATGCTCAGCCAAACTCTTTGAAAAAACTTTCTACATCTTCTGTCTCCACTTTCTCTTTTCTTACTTACTCCTCAATCCTTTTCATTCTGGCTTCTAATTTAATCACTCAACTGAAACTGTTCACCATGCAA